GTGGCTATATCGCTCCATGTGTGTGGCAGGAGTTTAAGCCACCAGGTCCAGGACTTGATCCGCGGTCAACTATGTGGGGAGTCCAGCAATGTAACCATTACACCATCTGCTGGTCCCAGAAACATCTAGATTAACAAAACAAATTTCAACTTTGCAAATATCTGAATAAAACAAAACGCTATTATGAATTCCAAAGATGAAGTAATCATAATTCCTTGATCCCAACAACTTCCCATTAGTTTTGTAACAAAAATTTAAAGAGCAGAGATAGTCATAAATTTGTTTTCTGCATTAGATTACTTATCTAAATCATCCAAGAAGTAATAATCAAGCAAATGTCATTTCTTATATTCATTTTCCATAAATTAAGTATATTTAGTGTAACAGAAACAGAAAACTAAAAGCATTTCTTAAAAAACATGCTGATAACCAAGAAAATTTAGCTGTTAATAAATTTGTCATTCAATTTCCAGGTATGGTCAAATACTCAATTTCTCATGAAAAGCAGCATGCAAGTCAGTTGTGATAATAAATATTAAAGAAGTTCTTCACTAGGAAGTTGAAATATTTTCTGTCAACATGGTTAAAGGTCAGCATGTAAAGCATTCTGGTTTTTAAAGGCCAATAATACCAAAAATTTGCTAAGAGGGCTTGTGACTGACTAAATGAAATGAGTGACACCTGTTAAGAATGGGACTAAATTAAAATTACACACAGTTATTAATAGTTGATACAGCTAAGTACCTTGGCTGGCATGTTGGAAAAGGTGAAGATCTAAATGGGTTATATGAAATGAACTGTTTTCAACGTCTTTGGGATGATTCCCACAAAATTATAAATAAGGTATATAGTGAATGATATCCCCGGCACTGTACATATGAGATTAATTCTACTAGGGCATCAGGAAAGTAAGCATGTATTTTTCTATGGGAAAATATGTCAGACTTTTCAGATGACCAGATCAAGAGATATTTTAAAATGTTAAAATAACCTTACTATATGGCTCACTATATAATAGGAAGCCTCAGAAAGATTTTTCCAGAAGATGCTGGTTTCTGTCTTTATGTTATGTCCCTTTTCAGATTACTCAGCTATAGAATTGTCCCAGTGTTTTATTTGATTTCATTAAAAAAAATTTTTTTTGGAAAGATTTTTGCTATAGGGCATGTGTGCTCGCTGGAGAGACAGTGACAGAAAGTGAGAAATCACCCCTAGGAGGGATAGCCATGCTGCAATCCCTTCTTTTCCATTCACCTCTTGGGATTTGGGGCACACACGCACTAGTACCCATCATGTTTCAAGTCACCGGGTCCAGGGCTCAAACTGTGGTTGACCATGTGGGAATCCAGTGCCTTAACCACTACACTACCTGTTGACCCCTGTCCCAGTGCTTTAAATTTAAGTCATCCATGTTCAAGTTGGACTCTTTGTAAATCATTTGTTCTCTCTCACCAACATCAAGGTTGTTCAGCTATCAGAACCACTACTGTTTTGAACTGATCTACCAAATCTGTGTATTCTGGCACCAAACCATTTAAAGTACACAGGAAGGAACTGCAATAGTTTCCTGTGGAAAGAGCACTAAGCTGGGAATCTGGTATGGGACTTCAAATTGTGTGACCGCAGGTCTGTCAGTCTTTTCTAGGCTTTAAGTGTCCTCATCTTCCTAAGGTCCCTTCTGGATCAAAATTTTATAATTCTTGGGACCAGCAGTTAGCGTAATGGCTATGTCGCTGGACTCCCATGTAGTCGACCGCGGTTAACGTCCCAAACTTGGTGGCTTAAACTCACGCTGGGCGTGTGTGCGTGCATGCATGCCCAAGATCCCGAGAGGAGAATGGAGAAGGGATTGCGGTGTGGCCATCCCCCCGGGGGGTGATTTCTCGCTTTCTATCTCTCTGTCTCTCTCTGTCTGGTGAGAGCACGTGCCCTATAGCAAAAACCTCTAAAAATTTTTTTATAATTTTAAATCTAGGTTAGACATGGGCTGAATGTAGGCAGAAGCCTCTAGCTATTGCCATGCCTTGAAATAGGCAACTTCCATCTCAAATGTGTGAGAAATAAAAGGCTGATTGCTGCTGGAATGCCCCTCTTTCCATATTCCACTGGGGTATTTTTGGTTGGGAAAGGGACAGTATTGGGTATGAGTCAATGGAGTGGAAACCCAAATGGCTACTAGTAAAACCAGTCCCTCTTTGGTTCCTAAGGAGTTTAGATCAAGGATACTCCTACATGTTCTCACCCTCATTCCTTCTCATACATTTCAGGCTTCCACTTGTCAGTTAAAATTATTTGAAGACATGGGCTAGCAGGTGGTGTGGTGGTTAAGGCATTGGACTCTCACACGGAGTGACGAACCTGGTGGCTTGCTTTCTCACTTTCTTCCCTCCTCTCCACCCCGCCCTGTCTCTCTCTGGTCAAATGAATAATAATAATAAATAAAAATAAATAATTCTTTAAAAATTAACAAAGAAGATCTTGAAGATCTTAATTGCTGCTAATTGTTCCTTAACACCAAAAATGTTGGGTGTGCTGTTCTACTTTGACAATAATATGTAACTAACTTAATCCAAACCTAGAGCATACACATATATCTTTTGTGTACTTCTTATTATCTGTTTCTGTATATAGAAACTTACTTGTTTTCAAATGATCTATTAAATTTGTTTTATGCTTTGGGCTGAGACTTTAGTTAACCCAGCAAAGCCCACCTTTGGGGGAGAAGGTAGGAAAACAGATTAACAGATTGCTGCCTTAGTCAAAGTCAAACTGGCAAAATGTACAAGCCTCTCAAAAACTCATTCTTTGCTCATTAATTGCTAACAAGGCTTCTTTCAAAATGTGCTGACATTCATCAGTTTGAGATGGCTTTGTCCAAACGATAGGGCCATTTGCAAATGAGTTCTGAAAAAGCCTATTAGAATAGTTATTTTATAATCCCCATCTAATTTGCAAGGTGTGAAATCAGTCACTGTCAGGTCAGAAAATCAACCATTAAACTTGCAAAAAAGTTATCTCCATCTTTGGCAGTCCCTCCTGCTTGTTGGGTAGTATTGAGTGGGTTACAGTTTAATGCATTCAATGTATTCTATATCCCTTCCACTTAACTATAGATTGCTTCTATCAGTTTCTCCTTGTCTCAATCCAGTAAACGCTCATTTAGAAATGCAAAATATATTACATAAATGTGGTTTCTTCTGTAAAGGAAAATTCCTAAAGGACATTTAGAAATGCATATTCTTTTTCAGAAACAAATTATGGGGCCAGCCTATGGCCCAGTGGTTAAGGGAGCCAGATCCAACAAGGCTGACCATGCAGTTCAAGTCCCAGACTCAGGCTTGAAAAACATGTCAGGTACGTGTGTGCGCACGCACGCGCACATGCCCCAAGTCCCAAAGGATGGAGAAATTAAGGTGAATGGATTGTGGCATCATGACCCTCCCTCCTTAGAGGATGCTTTCTCTCTCCCTGTCTCTGTTTCTCTCTGGAAGTGTACATGCCATCTGGCAAATTAAAAAAGAAACAAATTATGAATAATGATCTAAACTTATATGGAAAACTGTGTTGCCAATTTATATTTGTTGAATGTCATATATGGTATTTAGCTGTCATAATTGCTCATCAACCCTCCATAAGATGTCTCATCTGCCTTCTTCAATAAAGATGTCTGCAGTAAAATCCCAAATGGGAACCTATTTTGTTGGATCAATTAGCAGTGATATTTTCAAATTAATTTTGTCTATTTTTTTTTTACAAATTAGTATACTATCTTATAGATACACTGAAATTAAAGCTGAACCTGGAATTGTATATTAAACATACTTTATTTAAGTCTTTTCAATAGTAACTATCAGCATTTAAGGACTTAGAGTTTAACTTTTTTGTTTCATAGTTACCTAATTCAAAGAAGGTTCAGTTAGTAATATTCTAAACACATGTCTATATTTACTCCCATCCCATTCCCTTCCTTAGTGGCTATTTTGCTATTAAGTAGTTGAGAAAGAAAGAGAAGAAACTATATCGTAAAAGGGAGAGAAAGGAACCAGGAGACTAGCTCTGCCCTTTGATGCCAAAACAGAAGCCTTCGAAGAGTGGCTGGAGAAGATCCTAGTTACATGCAGCATGCCAGCAATTGACACTCTTGGTGACTTGACTCCTGAAAAATGATTCTGTACTGTACTGGAAGCTAATTTCATGGCTGAAATAGTGATGTCATTTGAAAAATGTGGGTCTAAGTCCAGCACTTCAGATGTTAGTATCATTCTCCTTCCAGTCTTGTCTTTTCTCTTCAGACATTGCCCCCTAAAAGCACTGTCAGGCTGTGTACTTAGTTGCCACGGCAAGGGGCTGCATCTGGGATTCCGAAAGCATGGGGAAGGCAGAAACGAAGTCTGCGGTCCCCAGTCCAGGGTACAGGTATAGTCAGGGTAGAATGAAGATGGGGCCGATTATTCTAGAAAGACTGTGGTAGCTGCATGGGTGAAGCCAAAGCCTGGAAAGCTGGGGAAAAGTGGCTGCGAATGAACCAGGAAGCCGTGCAGAGACGCTTCCCGGAAGTGCTGCTAATTAAGGCTCCCCGTAACTAAGAAATCCAGAGAAGGCTCAGCTGTGTTTCAGAAACTGCTTATACTGAAAAAAAATTATTTAAAAAAAATGCAGAAACCATTTATAGTGACAAATTTGGAGTGTGCATTTTCTTACTGCTTCTAGTAATGAAAAGAAATAATGATGCTCTGTGATATAAAAGGCTTCAAGTCAGACAGAAAATTGCAGCCTAAATTCAAACCTGTTTTTTCTGGAGACAGGGATGTGAGGTTATTTTTGTCTTGCTTAATATCAATCACAAAACATTAGTTTTTCAATTTCCATTTATCAGTCAGATATGTACAATAAAAACACTTATAGAAAAAAAACACAAAACAAAAACAAAAACTCCTTTAAACTATTACAGTAAAAACAAAGATAAACAAAACTACACAGAATAAAATAAAATTGTTGGTAAAAAGAAAATTTAACGTTAAATATCAATACTTACACACCAAAGTGGACTGTTAACATAATAAAGCCAACATATAGTCATGAAGGAAGACAAATGCATCAGCTATCAAAGCACTCCTTGCTTTGGCCTGGGAGATCACCAAGCCCTAAGCAGCTGGTTAATTTTGCTCCCTCCCTCATGAGTCCATCCTTTTCACACTGGGGTACCAGTGCAGGAGGCTCTTGGATGTAGCTAACCGCGCGGCAGCTCCTAAGGCAGCAGTGGCTGTACTGCGAGGAATGTAGAGCTTCTGAGAAATCTGGTGCTCAGGAGACAAGATCAAAGAGAGCTGGTCCATGGCTCCTTGGCTCTTGTCTTTGAACAATGTAATATCATGGCTACTAGAAAAATCTTCATTCTTTAGGCTCCCTGGGGAACTTTCCCCTGAAAAAGAAAGAAAAAGTACGCAAGTGTTTTTCAAGGGGTTCTCCTGCCCACCAACTTCTCTCTCATTCTGGTTTTTATGAACGTGTGTTACAATGATTTCCTGTTAGGTGGTGACCACTACCCATTCAGAAAGAATGAGACTCAGAAACCAGCCAACATATGTAAAGGAAATTAGGATGAAAAAATCATGCACTGAGATAAAATAACTTCTTGTCAGGCTGAGGGGAAGAGAAGGAAAAATGCACTTATGAAAAAAGAATGGAAGATATTTTTCTAGAAACATCATAAAAACAAACTGGAAGGCTGGCCACAGTGGCACAAGAGGTAGGACACCACTGTGTGAGGCTAGAGACTCATGAGAGGCCTGGGTTCAGTTCTTGAACTAACTTAAACAGAAGGGGCATAGGAGTAGATGCCTGCAATGCTAGCTAACTGGAAGGTGGGGTGGGAGGTTTGTGGCATGGACAGTCCATGTCAAAAATACCCTCCTTTCAGACTAGGAGATGGTATGGAGGTTGATATGGCTATATACCAGTTTAAGTTCTGAACTGGTTGGCCTGAAAATCTGAAATCCCAAGAGAATGGAGAAGAAGGGACTGTGGCATGGCTATGCCCCGGGAGGGTGTGTAGGGGGTGATTTATCACTTTCCCTCTCTGTCACTGTCTCTCTTTGGCAAGCACATGTGCCCTATAGCAAAAAACTTAAAAAACAAAAACAGAAAAAGATACACCTTTCTCTACTTTCCTCTCATAAAAATAAGTAAATTAGATATAATTCAAATTCCAGAAAAGAGATTATAAGCTACTCTATTTCCTTCTAATCCTGAGAAAAAGGATGTTCCACAGGCATTCTCTATTGCCAAAATGGTTCCAATTCCAAGTTTATGCCAGTATAAAACCAAAATCATCCAAGACTGTGGTTGCTAAGAAATCCCCCAAACCAGTAAGCTGTAAAACAAATACCTTAGGAATTAGTTTTAACTAAAAAGAAATAACCCTTTAAATGAAATGAAATTGCTGGAACTCCATCGCCCAAGAGTTCATAATGGACAAGGAAGGGAATGCCAGGCTCAGAGGTGTGCTCTGGATGAGTGCTACTCAAAAGTAGCCTGTCAACGAACTATTCCTCGCTACGACGAACCTGCCTGCGATGAGAGAAGGAGCTTTTGCTGGCATCTAAGCCAACATGCTGCTTCCTACAAGAAAGCTCTGCTTCAAACAAAGTTCAGGTGAGCTGATGTGCTCAGCCTTGAGGCCAGTTCAGTAGTCTGGCACAAGTGCCTTAAGGTGCTGTTCACTGCAGCAAACATCTCACAGATCAGTACCAGTACGCTGACTACATTTGAATAGCACTGCTCTAGATTCAAAACACATAGACTGCAAAATAAATAAATAAATAAAATCAGAGAAAAAGTAGGCATAATCCAATACTTTATTCATTTTACATCTCCTACATCTAGCTTACTAATATTGATAGCATGTGAATATGTTCCATATGTTTGTAATATGTTACATTCAAGGAAAATGTGACAGAATCTTCTGAAAAGCAGAATTCTAATCATAAAATTATAATTAATGACCACTAGAGAGGAAGGGTGAGCGGTGCATAATGAAAAAAATGTGGTCTTATATAAAGTCTTAGGTGTGTTCAAGCTTTAAAGTTATAAATAATTGGGTCATTGGAAAAGTCATGACGTATTTTCTATGTTTTTCTATGCAAAAATGTGTCATGACTTTTCCGACCCAATATATGGAAACAGAGACATTTTCTCTGAAGAACATGAGTAGAAAATTTCTACTTTCAGCCATGATATAACTCAACAGGAATCATATTTACTCTCTTACTTGATAACAACTAGAAATGTGGACAGGGTATACGAAAGAACAGCTTGCAGACTCTGAACAAACATCACAGGACCGTGGCCCCCAAGAGATAGGAAGGAGACAAATTATGAGTGTCTCAACTCACTGCCTAGAGAGAATTTTAAGACTTAAGTATATGACAAAGAAATCCAGACTGAGCCTATAGGTCTTCCTGAGTTGAGAAGACAGAGTTCAGAATTCAGAGAGACCCGGTGTCCACCGTTTATGAACATAAGGACCAGAGAGGAGGTGGCTGCAGAGAGGAAGCAGGGAGCTGCAGAGTCTCTTCAAGTCAGACTGAGCAGTGATCTGGCTCACCTGTGTGAGGCAACGACCAAGCCCTGGAAAAACCACCTGAAAGGAGTTGGCACAATGACCACGAGAGCTTACATAGGGATGAAAACTGCAAAGACATCCCAATACATGTGACTTCAGTTCCATTAATGACCTCAGAGAGAAACTGCCTAAATAGCCAGGCCAAATTAGACCTAGACTATAGGCTTTTCAGACCAACCTAATGAAACCTAAAAGAAACACTGTCGAATTCAATCAATTTTGTGAAATTGAATTGTATTTCCCCAATAAACTGGATCATACACCTAAATGTCAGAAATAAAACTATAAAAATTTTAAAAGAAAATTAAGAAGAAAAAAATATTAAGTTTCTTAGATTAGGTAATGATTTCTAGAAAGACACATAAAGCTTAAATTTTAAAGAAAAAAATCAGTAAACCAGACTCAATCAAAATGAAAACTTTTGGTTTTCCAAAGACACTTAAGAAAATAAAAAGGTGAGCCACAACTGGAGGAACTCTATGTCTGTACCTGTATCTACTGACAAAGGATTTGTGTCTAGAAAAAAAATTACAAGGAGATAGTTAATCCAGTTTTAAAAATGAGTCAAAATTTGAACAGGCACATAACTTAAGAAGGTATGTGAATACACATGAAAAACTGATCCATATCATGGTAAAACAGAAAATACAAATTAAAACTATAATAATAATAATAATATATCATACCCGGTCCTACAGGAAAAATGAAAACAAGATGAACAATACCATCTGCTGGTAAAGATGGGGAGCAACTGTAACTTTATACCTTGCTAATGGGAAGCAAAATGACATAGCCACTTTGGGAAACATTTTGGCAGATTCTTGAAAACTCAAGCATGTAGTTATCATATGACCCAGAAATCCACTCCTCAGTATATGCTGAACAGAAATAAAAACATATGTCTACATATGTGTGCTAATGTTCACAGTGGCTTTATTCATAACAGCCAGAATCTGGAAACCACCCACACGTCCACTGACTGATGAACAGATAAATTCTGTCTGTTGCATATCCATACAACTGAATATATAATTCAGCAACAAATAAAAACAAAATTTTGATATTGTCAACAATATGAACGAACCCTAAAATACTATAAAATGAGTCAGACATTAGAAACTACATACTACGTGGTATTCTAGAAAAGGGAAAGTGACATGCCAGATACAAGTGAGCAGAGGAAATGACAAAAGAGCACAAGAAAACTCTCCAGGCCGGTGGAAATGTCCAATACAGTATCATGGTTGTAATGGTGGTTGCAAGACTGTCTAAATTTGTCAAGACCCGAACAGTGTATATGCAAAAACTGACAAATTTTACTTTATACAGATGTGAACCCCCCCAAGAAAAATCGCAGAAAAAGAGAAGAGTAGCAAAGTTAAAAGGAGCAATTAAGCCCTCAGATCAGATGAAGACCTGAGACAAATAAGTCAAGTCAGGTCAGCAATCTTTCAAGGGATGTTCTTCTGTTTTTTTTTGTTTTGTTTTTTTTTTTTTAATGGAGAGGTTTTCGCTATAGGGCACGTGCACTCACCAGACAGACAGAGACATAGAGACAGAAAGCGAGAAATCACCCCCCAGGGGGGATGTCCACGCCGCAATCCCTTCTCCTCCTTTCTCCTCTTGGGATCTTGGGCACGCACGCACACGCGCCTGACGTGAGTTTTAAGCCACCGGGTCCGGGACGTGAACCGCGGTCGACTACATGGGAGTCCAGCGACATAGCCATTACACTAACTGCTAGTTCCCCTCAGGGATGTTCTAAGAGACACAATGAAAGTTTTTAGAAACATGGCACAATCATATTTATTTGACGACTGTGAGCATGCATGAGTGTCATAAACCTACCAGAACCCAGGTGTTTCTCTGGGGTATTTCCCACCGCAGGAGTTGAAGTGAGCACTTCTGTCGACAGCTGAATTTGCTTTGGCTGAGTCTCAATGTTGTTAAGTTCAAACTGGCTCCCTTTGGCTGACGGCTGTGACTGGAAAAGAGAGAGGTAGAACTCTTCTAGTTGGGGCAGTGTAGATGAATCAGAACTAGTTACATCTGGTTGCTGCAGAATGGGAAACATGGGGTAAAATTGTGAAAAATAATGGTTAGTAAAATAAGAATAATTAAGCCCTTCCTGTTTCCTTACTTATATACAAAATACAAGTATTTTTCATATCATAATGAATCTTCACTTTCAAAACGACCTAGTTACCTCTAGAAAATGCAAGTCCTCCAATTCGATGAGCATGATTCAATTTAGTAACATTTACTGAACACATGCTACAAGTAAACATGGGATTGAGCACTGCCATACCCAGTTAAAGATGACTGGTTAAGAAAGGAGGGAAAAGAAGGGAAATGACATTGAGCACAGTGCTAGGCTATTTGCACATGATTCTGCAAACATCGGACAATCCCCTCTAGGTAGGTGGTGGTGACTTCTTTCTCTTAGCATATGCTTTTAGAGATGTTGAGTTATTCAATGACTATCAGTAAGCAGCAGGAACAGATCTGAATTCAGGCCAGCTTATGCTCCTGTGCACCACCACAGCACCTCTCCTTAAGATAAGATCCCTGACCTTAGGGAGCTCACAGAACTCAGTCAGCGAAACAGTGTTTGTGCAGCCAGTCATGGAAGGAGGTGTGGCCTGCCTTCTGTAGTATAAACAGAAAGCTCCTCAGAAATGATAAATGGTTAAGAACCAGGGTTTGAGAGAAAAATGAATTTCCCGTACAGGTTGAATTTCAGTCAAATTCAATGGAGCATCAAATTTTAATCATTAGGAGTCAGATTGTATAGCCAACCACTTACTTATATACTTTATGGTAACTTATCTTTATTAATTTAGTGTGCATCTTCTGTGTGTTAATTGGCATTAATATGACTCAAGTGGGCTCTCCATCAGGACCAAGCTGTAACGAACTGAACTAAACAACTTACAGTCTGGGATTTGCCTAGAGCAAATTGAAACAATAATTTTACAGAATGATGAGCACCAGAATGGGTAAATATATGTTTAAATATAAATGAGCACTGTTTAAAACATATGCCATATGCCGAATTACATCACAGCAATACTGTGCACTGGTCTAAAAAAAACCACTTCCTTATTTTTCCCTAGATAGGAAAAGAGAACTTCAGACTCATAAATTCCTGACAAAAATTAACAAAAAAACTGAATTCAACTATGTAAGTACAATAAATTTCCCAATCACCACTCTAAAAGGCTCTAAATACACTGTCTTGTTTTCTCTGATTCCATTTTCTAAATTTGCCAAAAGAAGTTCTATTTTCAGGCCAATAAGGACCCACCCACTTCCCAGGTTTTCTCCCTCCTCTCTTCTCCGCAGGATGGAAGCTGCCTCTGCCATCCATGGAGTGGCCTCATCTCTGCTGCGCCTTTCCAGGCTGTTAACAACCTCCTTTCCTGTCTTGGTCTATGCATTGCCCTTTGGCAGAGCCATGGTTAGATGAGGTTTCCTCTGAATTCTCAGTGGGCTATTATACCCTCTCCTTTTCATACCAGCTTCTGTCAGGGCACCTCCTGCCAGGGACTCGGCACACCCACTCATTCCAAAGCCCACTTTAGACACGTGGAACGGATGAGCCTCTCAAACACCACGGAGGAGCCACAGGAAACATGAGGGCAGCTCAGGTCCCTCTCATACTATGTGACTATCTCTAATGTACTCCTTCACATGACACAGCTATGGGAGTTGCTGCTCTCAGCAATGCTTCAGAGAGGAAGGAAGGTGTCAGGATTGTCTGATTTCAAATTCTCCCCAAAGTTCCCAGGAAATCAGGTAGTAGGGAATGGGACAGAGGGAAAAGCACATGGTCTCTACATTTTCTTTTTCTCCCTATGTACCACTCCTCCATTTCAGAAAATGTCTAGAGGAAGAAAATCCTTTCTCTGTGTTCCTTGTGTAAACAGCTTATGTCACTTAGGTAGAGTGCTTTGTGAACTTGGAGAGTCAGACTGTCACCTGTCTCTACAGCAACAGATGTCCTTTGGACTACAAGACAGGCAAGGAGTAGTATAAAGTCTATACACAACCTTATAACCCACTCAAGATCTGTTATTAAACAAAACCAGCCTTCACACTCCTGGTGACTAGAGGCAGTACCTTGGATAGTTCCAACTCTTTCCTTACAAGTAATACAAAACCTTGAGTAAATGACCAAGGGGTTTCTGAAACCCAGTGCAGGGAGTAGCTTTGTTACCCAACTTTCGGTCTTGCCTTATGCTATAAAGCTCTTTTAACCACTTATGAACTTTCAGGGAATTCATGAGGAAGAAACTGCTACCAGCACTCTAGATTGACCTTCCTACTCCTGCTCTGGTCAGAGCGAGTGGCTCATCAGATGGCTGAGCTCATCAGAGCCTATAGGGCACAGGAGTCCACATTCCTTGCTGGGCAGAACTCCTGTGTAACAGGGCACTGCTTGATCTGACCCTATCCCCTTGTTGCTTCACTCTTGGGCCAGCAGGGACAGTGCTGCTTTCTGCTTCCAGAGGAAGAAACCAAGGGTTCTCCAGCTGTTCTTGCCTGAAACTGGTGGGAAAAAGCCTGGTGTCCAAACTATTTTTCCACATCCAGATCTGCCACAAATGAAGCCAGTATTATTATTCCCATCTGGATTTGGGTCTCTTCTCATTTGAATAAAACAATATGACAGAAAGGGAGGGAACAGACAGACAGATAAACATACCATATCCCTACCACATACCTAGACCAATTAACACATGACAGAAAATTTCTTTTGCTGAGGCCAGCAGATGGTGTAATGGTTACATCACATGGACTCCCATGTAGTCAACTGCAGTTCAAGTCCTGGACCCAGCAGCTTAAAATTCATACCAGGTGCATGTGTGCATGTGCCCAAAGTCCTGAGAGGAGAATGGAGAAGGAATTGAAGGAACTGTGGCATGGCCATCCCCTTGGGGGATATTTATTGCTCTCTGTCTCTCTGGTGAGAGCATACCTATAGCAAAAATCTCTAAAAAAAAAAAAAAAAAGAAAGAAAGAAAATTTCTGTTGCTTTTTGAAGATCTCTACTACTCCAGAACACAGATCTCAATTACTCCTTAAATATACTACTTGAGGGAAAGACTCTTGGGCCATACTATCTGGGTTTTAATCCCAGGTCTACCACTTGGTAGCTGTATGTCTTAAGCCAGTCACTTAATTCTTCTGTGTACAAGTTTGTCATCAGTAAAATGGGGATGATAAGAGTACTTACCTTACAGGTTTGTGGTAAGGATTAGAATTAATATAAGTTATGGCCTTAGAACTGTGTCTTGTACTCAGTGAACACTGAATTATTACTCTAAGAGTACATTCAAACAGAGATATCCTTGTACTATTAAAGAAAAGGGGCAAGGAAGAAGTTTGACATCAACTGGTAAATTCTGACCTGTCATTGCAGTTTGAACTTTTGATATGTTAAGATGGGTATTATAATCCCTCATTCATCTATGTTCTAATAAGTTTCAAGTGCTCCCATCAACACCAAGCAGAAACAAAAATCCATAAATGGTAGGGGCCAGCAGATGGCATAGCAGTTATGTTGCTGGACTCCCACATGGCTGACCTCAGTTCAAGTCATGGTCCTGTGGCTTGATCAAGCTGGGTATATGTGATTGCTGGGTGTATGTGCTTGTGTGCTCAAGATCCTAGGGGGAGGAGGGTTACACAGTAGTCATCCACTCTAGGAGATGCTTTCTCACTTCCCCTCTCACTGTCTTTCTTTCTTGTGTGCGCGCATGAGCGTGAGAGAGCGCAAGCTCCCTAAGGTAAAAAACTCTTAAAAAAAAATCCATGAATGGTCTGGCTCCATGATCTGGTGGTTAAAGTGGCTGGATCCCCATGTGATTCAAACCACATGGTTCAAATCCTGGCCCCAGTGGCTTGGAAAACATGCTGGGTGCATGTGTGAGAGTGCCCAAAATTACAAGACGAAGAAATGGAGAAGAGATTATGATGTGCCCATGCACCACTGGGGAGTGCTTTTTTCTTCTCCCTGGAGAGCACACGCATTCTCAGACAAACTGGAAAAAAGAAGAAAGAAAAGAAAGAAAAGAAAAGAAAAGACAAGAAAAGAAAAGAAAAGAAAAGAAAAGAAAAGGAAAGAAAAGAAAAGAGATGGGAACCAGCAGTTGGCGTAATGGCTATGTCACTGGACTCCCACGTAGTCAACCGTGGTTCGCGTCCTGGACCCGGTGGCTTAAAACTCACGCCGGGCGCGTGTGCGTGCGTGCCCAAGATCCCGAGAGGAGAATGGAGGAGAAGGGATTGCGGCGTGACCATCCCCCCTGGGGGGTGATTTCTCGCTTTCTGTCTCTAATGTCTCTCTCTCTGTCTGTCTGGCGAGCGCACGCGCACTATAGTGAAAATCTCTCCAAAAAAAAAAAAAAAAGAAAAGAAAAGAAAGAAAGAGCAAGCAAGCAAGCAAACAAAAGGAAATCCTTGAGCCTTGTTTGTAAATGTTGTAATTCAGAGTTGGTGTAAGCCTATGGTTTCCTACCTAAAAAAAAAAACCTTCTCTCATATTTTTTAGAACCCTAGTTCAATACTGCCTAAAAATAAAAAGATATAAAGAAAGGGCATCTATTCACTGAGCTTCACTGTCCTGCCATGAAATATCAGAACCAGTGGTAGAGATGGGAAAACCCAATCTTAACTACAGGTGCCATTGGTTGTTACAGATATTGATCAATCTATCATTTCTCTTTTCCTTTTAAGAGGAGCTTTCTAGTCCCTGGATTTTTAGCTCCACTAAGAAATGCTGCTTGATTCCAGTTTCTTGAGGTTGAAAACAAAAATGTTTTCAATTTATATACATAAATTAAAGTAGGTCTCCAGATGGGGGCCCTTTTCTTCCTGATATCCTTTTTCTATTCTAAATATCACTCAATTTCACTCTTTTTAAAAAATTATTATTAATTGGGACCAGCAGTTAGCGTAATGGCTATGTCGCTGGACTCCCACGTTGTCGACCGCAGTTTGAGTCCTGGATCCAGTGGCTTAAACTCACACCAGGTGCGTGTGCGTGTGTGC